GTAAACATTTGCTTTGAATTTTTGCAAGGCCTAGTGCCTGAACTTACACAGGTAGACCGTTCATCTATCAATCATCTTGAACTTGAGGTGTCATATGTAATAATTTAGAAAAAAATTATCATGCAATTTGATTGTCTCACTTCTATTTAAATGCAATTATGTGAAATAGCGGATTTTCCGCTCGAATTGGGCCGTCCACCTGGGGAAATAACCTCCACCTTACAGAAGGCCACTACTTACTACTATCAAGACACTTTTGTTGATGTTCTGTTTCTGTCGGTAAAGTTGCCGTTACCGTTGCGTTGCCTACCCTGCCTGACAAAATTCCCTAATGAGGGCTAGAGGCGCTTGTGTAGCGTGAGGTCTCCGAGATGGCAAATGTTACTGCTTGTGTGTTGACAACGCGGGTTTATTTCTTATTAAAATAATGTTGTAAATGATACATCCGATTAAATATGGCAAATACGAGTTACGTGTCAATGAATGTCATTGATTTAAAAGCGGAGCGAAGGAAAATTATTACGTCCTCCTTTTTTCCGTTCAAAACGGAACTGCGCAACACTGTGACATGGCCGATAACGTTTACGATACATTTCTTTTGTATTAAAATATGATTTAAATGTAAACTTTGATTTCACTCGCGTATCAACAACCTTTAATAGCTAGACTTCAGGACCTCATTCAACAGTGGCGCCAACTGGTGAGACAAATAACGGTCGCCCTCATTGGGCCATGCAGGGCAGGCAACGACGCGAGTGATATTTTTGGCTTCTTGCCAAAGATATTATCGTTGTTGGCTTTTGAAATAAAAAAATGTGCCACCTCTTTTGTGCGAAAATAAAAAAAAACCTATTAACAGTTAAGGTTTCAAGGGGGGTTGGGCACTTAGTATTACTGGCCCAAATTGGATCTCCCATTTGGGGTAAGTATGTATAACAAGTAACCTTGACCTTGCACAGCACTAATAAAAAGCCTTTGATGATATTATGTTTCTGTCGTTAACTGGGGTTTATTGGGCTCCACCGCATCAGTTGTATGTCCACAAATGAACTCGTCTGACTACAAAAAGAGGCTTCGAAACCTATACTAGGCGACAGGCAACTACTTATAGTTTCTGAACACAATTTTAGGCTCATACCGCCTTATTAATAAACGAAGACTACGCTTGGATTAGTTACTCCATGTTTTTTCTATGTCTATTGAATGACAAATGGCATTTGAGTGTCATGAACAAAACACGGCGTTATTCCTTGTTTATCAATAAGGGGGCTATCCCAATAGTTCAAAGTGGAACTCTATAGTTCCACTTTGAAAGTAGCTTATTTTAATTTTTGACAAAGGCACGAAATTGTGAATACGTTCTCATCTTTGATTTTCTGCCAAAATGCCATTACTATTTTGCTCTATACTTAGATAATCCTAACTAATATTACAAATGCGAAAATGAGTTTGTTTGTTACGCTTTCACGCCTATATCACTGAATAGATTTGGATGAAACTTGTTAATCATATAGTTCATGATCTGGATTGGGAAATAAAATACTTTTTCACCCAGGAAAAGTGGTAGTTTCTTGAGGGATTTTCATAAAACTAAAGTTAACGCAGACGAACTCGCGGGCGTCCGCTAGTATGGCTATAAAATGAAATCTAAGTTCAATGTATATTTTATTTGCCATGTAGATAATCGTTTGTAGATTGCACCATACGCCGCGTCGCGTGCAACTGCGATGCGAATGCAAAGCCCCTCGGTGACGAGAGCTCATAGCTAAGCTCATCCATCAAACGCGATACGGAACTGGCGAGGTCGTGTGAGCAGCGCGACGTTTATATCCATTATATATCGGTGAACTAGATACACTTGTCGATTGTTTATGAATCGATCGATGTTAAAGTTCAGCAGAAGCGCTCTCATAGATCACTATTGACTTATTGTTTTTGAGGTTTAGATACTTGCATTACGTTGTCCTTTGTAGCAGTTATTTGAACTGTTACTTCTCAAATCCAAATCACTGTTAATAGTGTAATAAAATATATAAAACTGACTTTTTGAATACATTAGGTATATATATACTACCGGTCGCCCGCGACTTAATCCCCGTTAGCTTTAAGTTTATTGAAAATCACACATGGGCGTAATATTTTTGCGGTATAAAAAGTATCCTATGTCTTAATCCAGATTTAAAACTATATGCGTACCAAATTACATCCAAATCCATTTAGCACTTTTTGCGTAATTGAGTAACAAACATACAAACTTTCATATTTATAATATTAGTACGATAATACACTTATATACAAAATAGTTTATTATTAGTGCGACGTCCATTTCTTATTTAGCAAAAATGTATTCCGTGCTTCTTCTTATTTTCCCCGTAAAAGAAAAAATCGATCCTGTGTTAATCTCCTACTAATTAAACTATGGGTGCTCCAAGATATGTTAAAAAATATAGTTAATACATATTTCAATATTTACATACACAAATTACAAATCCTAAATTGTATTTTTTTTCAACTGACTGCCTTTTATTTTGCTAAGCGTAATTTTTTTATCGATTGGGATAATCGATACTTGGATAACATTACGTATTGCCGACTGTACAGTACAATCAGAATACCGCGCAATTATAAAGTTTGCTATCAGTGTCATTAAGTTAATTGCAAACATTTAACCGCATATAAACGCAAGTGTGAAGTAAACAAATCAATTGTGTAAGATGAACAGGCATGTATCTACATAGCATGAGATTACCATTATTGCGCCAATAAAAAAATATTAGCGTATGTCAATTACTTCTTATAATTGATCAGAAAAGACCATAACTTTTTATTAATTATAAGTATTTAAATTAATAAATTCTATAGACTTGACGCACATTATGCTCAATGTAATGCAATGCATTTTATCACCTATGCAATAAAATAAACATACAAAAACAAAAGGGTATACTACTCATCCACATGAGTTCTAACACAAAAGGGCAAAGGAGATAAACAATGTATTGATAATTGTGATGATAATTTAACAAATTCTGATGAAATCCCAAGTCATTATAGAGATAACAGGAACGATTACTATGTCAGAGTAAAACTGAAAAGTTCAACAATCAACAATGAACAAAAGTTCACGGTTTAGCTATATTGTTTTAGTACGTTAAATGTCTTTGCCAATAATGGAGTACGCATGCATACTTCCATAAAAGAACATAAGCTGAGTACCTAAAATAGTACTGATTGTAATCACTTTTAATTTCAACCGAACCTTTGCAAAATAAGAAAAAGCATGAGCTAGCTGTAAGTATAGGTATTTTTTTATCTTATTTTATATTACGCCAATACTGAATGTATATTATCTATACGTATAAATAAAACGAATCGCCGAAATGTATGTACGGGATAATTTACAAAATACTGCACTAAATTGAATAAGTTTTTTTTGTGTTCGTATGTTGTCTGGATAAGGTTTATACAAAAGATTTTTAAAGAAAATCAATCATTAAAAACGTATGTCGGTACGAAGTTCTCCGAGTCGGCTAGTGTAAAATAAAAATATACACCCCATCACAGTCAAGGAAACTTCTAGAAGCTGATCGTCTTTTTTATCATAACATTACTGAATAAGTTATGTCTAATCCACCTATAAATATTTGAAGCATCTACCACCTTATAAGTATCGCTGTGTCATAGCGCTCATCTTATACATATAAAAAACAAACTGCACCATAAACGTGATCAAGTAATGCTGATTAATGGATGGATTTTATTTATTTATGGTGCGATTACACTTGGTCGCTAGCCCGAATACAAGTGCCAAAGGTATTCGGTTAAACGACTCAGTCAGTGTAAATGAACGGAGTCGAGTACCTAGTAGTTTGTTTACCGTCGCCCGTATTCGGGTAGTTTTCGTTTTGGTTACCCTACAAAGTCTTCCAGTCCATATTCCAGCGTAATATCCGCATACGGGCTAACGACCAAGTGCAATCGAGCCATTACATCGGTGACTGAACAAGCCTTAGATTCAGGCGGCGATTTTTTTAAAATAGTAAAAATCTAAAACATTAAAAAAATAATTATTGTGTTATAATTAATTCTAATTTAAACTCGATTCTTGTTTTAAAATTGTATTGATGTTATGCATTTTCTATACATATAGAACGCATAAATCGTAGCGTTACAATGGAAAACCAAATTGTGCCATAATCTCGACATCGAAACAAGGCAAGATTAGATTTTTTTTAAATAAGTAGGTACTATGAGTCTACAATAAGTTTGCGATAAATTCGCAAGTAAACTATACTAATACTTCCTTCTTAATTAATATATGATATTCTTAAGGCTCAACTTACTAGCGCAGACTTAATGTTTTTTGCCTTGGGAATACCTTAATAGTGGAAAATTAGCGATGAATTTGCTACAGGCGAAACATGAGAAAAACATGACGCTTTGTTTCGCTTCGACTCTGCGCCAGTGAAGTTGAGCCTAGTACATTGGTTAATTATTAACATACTATTTTCTAGACCTTTATTTCGCACGAAAAAACAATATAATTAGCTCGGAATTACACCACATATCTCAGGCCCACGTACGAGTTTTTGACAGCTCCAAAAAGTATCGTAATCGTCAAATGTTATATGGAAAAAGTATACTCTGCTATACTCTAGTATTAAAAAAATCCAACACACACCAATTAGCCTAGCCCCAAAGTAAGCACTGTAAGACTTGTGTTATGGGATGCTAGGGTAACGGATAGAATACATATACTTTATATATATAAGTACATTTATATGGAAATACATATTAAACATCCATGACTGGAGTACAATTGCTCGTATTCATCACACAAACATATGCCCCCATCGATATTCGAACCCGGGACCTCTCGAGTCGGCTACATCATGAAACCCGGCGTACAAACCACTCGGCCACGGAGGTCGTCAATTATAAAATAACTCATTCATTGAAACGTGAATCTTGTTAAAGTAGGTGAGTTTACATAATCATACCTTCAATTTTCTTAGATATTTGGTAGCACGGCGCTGCTGGCGTGAGCCCGAGGTATCTTTTCGGATCTTTGGCTGCTCTAACGTAGAGGAACGTGGAGCGCAGCCACTGTACGCATTGTGCCACATCTCCCACAGTACCGAGTGCCGCTTCGCTGTTCAAGTTTTCTGCTAGACGCATATGTAGGTAGCTTTGGAGGGGTTCGGTGCCTTCGACGAGGGCTTGGTAACGAGCCTGTTGGGTATGATAGTAGAAAAAAAGATTACCTATTTGTTTTTAGAGTTTCACGCACATCACTCATCAAATAAAACAATAAATTATTCGGACGACGCATCCCTGAAAAGGATGCAAAACGTCCATAAATAAATAAAATCAGTGCACCTAACACGTTAAAAAAAGATTAGTTAGGTTTGTATACTTTTGGCCTGGACGTACTGGTCATTCTCGTTTTACCGGCTTGAATAGAGTAACTTTCCCGTGGAACCTTACTTAGCAATTGAAATACAAAACAGCCGTAAGTACTGGTATTTTTATGTGGCCTTATTATTATATTTTGGAAGTTAGATACGCTCCAATTTAAAGGGAGATTCCGCTAGCCCAACCTTTATTAAATTGATAATTTGGTGTCCACGTCAACAGCGTAGCAGCAATAAAACACGCTTTATGAGATTGTGTGTTTTACAACACTGCTTCGATGATCAAATTATCACTAATACAAAAGTTTGATATAAACAAATGCTTTACAACGGCGACGTAATTTGTTTCCTTGTGTAGAAAATGGTAAAAAAAAGCTATAGGTATGAACTCAACTTATTCTCAAGTTCTCATCGTGTTTATAAAATTTTTATGTTGTGATCATAGACGTAGTATACCTATGGTTGTGATTTTTGATGGTAATTACTTAAACTTTTTGCTTTAATTTAGGACCCTGTTATGATATGACATTGATCATGACTAAAATTGACAATGACATGTAAGCTTTGACACGTCTTATTAAAGTTGTTCTCATTATTTATCAGGAAGTTCATAATTATTTACACGTTTATTTTAATAGTTTATATACAAAATGGCTTTAACAAAAGAAGAAAAAAAAGCAAAGAAGGAGGCCAAGAAACTTGAAAAGCTCAAAGCTGAAACAGAAGCTCGTAAGCATGCAAAACGTATGGAGTTACAACGAGAATTGGCTGCTCAAGCCCGAAAAAAAGGCGAATTAGACAAAATGTGGCGTGAATTAATGCTGAAGATTAAGGAGCCTTTGTTCAAACACGATATTGAAATCATGTGGCATACCTTTGAGCGAGCGTATGACAAAAAAGATCATTTCATAAATCACACAATGAAGCTAATGGACATAGCCGATGATCAGTTCCAACGCACCGTTGCCAGTTTTTGCAATACAATCGATAACATGATAAATAAATTCTTATCAGATTTAGAACAATTGTCTAGGGACAATGACCGAAGGACCTCGGAGTTGTTGAAAAGCGGCGAAGATGATAAAGCTCGCATAGTGACGGATCATGACGCGGCTGAAACACATTTACAGCTACTCCTGTATCATGCTCATACCACTGCAGATAATTTAGCTTGGACTACCCGAGGAGAAAATCTAGTAAAACAAGACGAAGATACTAATAAATACTTTGGTGAGCGTGAAAACTTAAGGTCAATTCTTGAGGATAGATACAACACGGTTTGGGAAGAATATAAAGCTGTTCTGAAATCCTACATCGTTGAAACTGCTGACAATCAAAAGCAGGTGCGTAAATTACGCCGAAAAGAAAATTTAATGGCTGATATCATTGCTGCACAAAGCAAGAAAATTGCTAATAGCGACGGAATGCTTAAACGCCTCCGCAATGAGTTAGCTGCGTATGAGTCAGGAACAAAACAAGCTGTGTTTAGAGATCGGCGCAACCGACACCGTGCTGCATGTCACAAGCTTAAAAGACGTCTAATAAATGGATGCGCCCTTGACTTGAGACAGATGGCTACACTGGTCAAATGTACTGATGATACAATTGAGTGGCTCGAGTCAGCAGCTAAAAAAGGCGATAAGATCCTTCGTATGGCAGCTCTTTGTAGGAAGTTTGAAAGTCAACGTGAAAAAGTTTTGCCCTACGGTTCTACGGGTCCTCACTCGCCGACGCAACTAAAAACTAGTATGAGACCATCAAAGTCCGATGATTCTTTGGTTATAAATGCTATATCTTCCACCTGTGGCTTAACAAGACTGTGGCAACGTCTATCAAAAGCGGAATTAGTTAGACGAGCTTTAGAACGCGAGAAAAACATGTTGGAGCTTGAAAACGCGTATATTATGCAAAAAATACAGGAGCAAAAGGAAAACCCATCCGGTCCGGAGATAAAGCAATGTAAATGTGACCCTAATAGAAAAAAGGGAACTGTGCATCAACCCGTAGCGATTGACGGTGTTTTTGAAGTTAATAAATACAAATTAATGTGAATAAATAAAATATTTCTACCATTCGTGCTTTTTCTTATCAGCCCAATTTATCTCTTGTCTTCCGGTTTCGAGTAGGCAATGATATAATAAGTATATTTCATAAGTAAATAAAAGAGCCTGGAGTTTGTTCCATCGAATGCAGCGTTGCGTGTTGCAATGACGTGAGACGATCGCGAGGCGCAAGCGATGACTCTTTGACCTCGCCCGATTGTTAAACTCCAACAAAACCTAAAAATGTTTCGAGTACAAAAGTTAATAAATCTCCACCAAAATAGGTAAGTAGATTATGAGCTTATGCTTTGTGAAAAATCAATATTAGAAGTATAACAAACACCCAGACCCTTCCCAAACCCTAAGCTTTACTTAAAAATAAAGACATTGAAATACTATCTCTTTGTTTAAAAAGTAAGCTTTCTAGGCTTTTCTTTTCCATTCGAGAAATAATGCCGAAGCCGAAATGAGCGCCGAAGTCTACTCCGCTCCGGATGTTGTGAAATAAAAGCTCTGACTTGAACAAAAGGAATATATTAGGATTTTCTTTTTCATAATTTCATATTCTTTGTCTTTATTTTTTCACTCGTCCAATAACTTAAGTTTGAATTAAAGTTAGAGTAAAGTGTGTGTATGTCCATGTTCTTTAAGAAAAGTAGAAGGTGATACGTAAGTTCATGAAACATGTAAGAACAATTAAGACTAGTAGTCAGGTCAAACGTATCCTTTGTTTATTTCTATATAAGCGTACTTGATCACACACTGCTTATGCTTTAAAGTTTTTTGTTATAAAAGTAATGTTATACAGTCGTCGTAAACGCATGAGCTGGCAAATATTATGAATAAAAAAACGGAAGATAAAATCATCTTGTCCTTGTATTTAATAGGTATGTACCAAAAAAAACGCAAAGGAATGATCATTATTTTATGATTTTTTAAATCAAATTGTTGGAAATACATTTATTATGACTAGTTAAATATTTGAAATCATCTTCGTTCATATTATATTATACAAAAATTTATATAAATAAATACAAGTAAACAACATTTGATAATCAATAGTTAAATTAAAAATATAAACATCAACACAAACAGAGAACATAACGAGAAATAACGTTATAATAACTACATATGAAAACATTGTTAAAAAAATATAGAATGCTTTTGAACTGAACTTAATGCTTGAAGAAGTTTGAACGAAATGCATGCCAATTAACGTATCTGCATAAAGAATTTTATGTTGGTACGTGTACGTACACAATATGTGTGACCATTAGTCACAGACTAACCGCTTTGATTATTATGAGGTAATTTTGCCTAATTAACTACTTTATACGTCCAAGTTTTAGGTAAGACGCGTATTGTTCTAAGATGGATAAAAAAATTGCCTACGTACAAATATCAATTTTGGATTTGTAACCTAGCCACAGATTACAAACCAAGTAATTAATTTCTATGTTTGCATAATTTTATTCCATTAATAAGGTCCGAGATAATAAGTCAATCATCTGAAAACTTTATAAACTAGAATATTTAGTAACATGTTTCGTTGTCGTTTTTAGAATCTAAAATGTTTTTGAGATAATTATCATTTAACGTGTTCAAATGTTATTTTCATTTAGTCACATTAATTACGTACATATTTTATAAAATCATATTATGATGTTATCTTCATCAAATGGAGATCGAGAAATCAATAATAAAGGAAAAAAAAATTAAATAATGACAAAGTACGTACTCGGTTACTGTACCATCAGATGGTTTAACTAGAAGTATGAAATGCAAATAAAATGTTCTATTCGGGGTAACTTGAGATAAGATGCTTTTTTTTATAAAAATTAAAAAATGTTACAAATAAAGGATTCTATAAAATTCAAAACTGCTGAAATAATGCATTCATTGTCATTTTTAAATCCTGTTTTATGACCCATCTACAATATGGTAAGTTACAATTATTTTAAAGTAAAGCTTTTATTACATCGCCGCATTTTTTGCATTCATCTATAGCATGTAGCATTTCATCTTTAATCTGTTATAAAAATCAATTGCTGTTCGTTAGTCTTGCTAAAACTCGAAAACGTCTGAACGGATTTATCTTATTTTGGTCTTGAAATGTTTGTGGAGGTCTAGAGAAGGTTAATAAGGTGAGAAAAAATCGAATTCTATACTACATCTCTACACCGAAGCGAAGCGAGGGCGGGCCACTAGTTGTAATTTAAGTTTTTAAGACTGTATCAACAAAGCATCTGCTGCTCAGTGGTAGAAAGCACGCCTGCTACGCTGACGGCCCGGGTTCAATTGTCAGCCGAGGAAGGCCTTTTTTTATAAATGATGTTAACGGTTTCACTTGCATAATAATTTCATAATTCATTATTAATTTAAATTTAAAATGTGAATTTACGCAGTTCATATAATAAATTTAATATATGCACAGAGTTTTAATAGATAGGTATCAATATAATTTTATCATCATCACTTGAAAATAATAGTCGCACATAACCTACTTTCCACTTTATGTGTGATTTGCTTAAGTCATGATGTGGTATAGAATCAAGATTTGAAGAACGTGTAAGATCATAAAGACATAACTTATGTGAGTCATTTCCTCATCATGAACTGGGGATGACAGATAGCACAGTTTGCTTTCACCGACTGATATGGCAAGGATCGCTACCAGGAAGAAGGGCCGACCTACATAATTATGAATTGTATTGTAATCACTAAATACAAGAATACCCTTATGTGATACTAATTTCTTTTGTGTCAATAATAATGCCTGTGTAAGAAAGTGTTGATACCACAATAGTATGTTAATTCCTTATCCTAATTTTCTGAGTAATGGAAAAAAACATTTATAAGCTTTGAACGTGTAACAGGCAACTCTAAATATTAAAAAAGTTTATTGAATCTATACAGATATAGTCCCGTAACGATGTTGTTTTTAAGGCCTTTTATGTATTTTTAATTGTGTTTTACCAATTTTCTATCACAGGCCAATCTACGCCAAGAACAGTGGTCAACGAAGGAACCTCTCCCTGTGACTTACACTTTTCTAGCGTTATAATAATAAACATCATTATAAATTTTAAGAAGAGCGAAGTTTTAAAAAGGTGGTGCACCATGTCAAAGACGCAACTATTGTTAAAATGTCGTAATTAGGTAGGCCCATATTTCTAACAATTAAATCCACGAAATAGATATAATAACCCAAAGGACATTGGGCAAAAATGTATGGACTCTGCACCTACATCCCGTGGCGGATTAAACTACGTTTGTTTGAAAGGTATTTTAGTCATGATCATTTGTGCCAAAGCGCATCAAATTCCATCTAGGGGATCTATAGTTATTTTAAGTTAAATAGGTACAAGTACTATAATGAACGAACATTAATGAAACAAGGGAATTAATTCAGTTAGTTTGACCCTACATAGGGGGCTCAGGTATTATGGGAGAACTTCACAAGGTGCAAAGGTGACCCTTTTTGTTATTCTGCCGCGCTAGAGTAAATCCAAAAATCCCCGCATGTGTTGGTGTTTCTTCAAACATTGTGTTCGCTATAGTAAACTGCCTCTATATAAAACGGTGCGACTACAAATCACACAAACTTGTCCACGCTTCAGAGGAAACATGATTCTAGTTCATCCATAATAATTGACAAAACCGATAATCGTGTTCCAATGTCCAAAGCGTGTTAGATAAAAATCAGTCAAGTGACAGGGAGCGCACAAGCACAACAAAGTAATACGAATCGACTATTTGCAACTGTAAGTCCTTCGACCCCCGTAAACCGTTTTGAGGTGTCTCAGTAAGTGCAAGCGCAGGATGGTCGCAGGCTTTGTCGTATATCTGGCTGCATAGTACGATATGACATATTATTATGGTTACTAGTGATGTAAAATAAAGGTACTAAAATGAATTTATTTAGTCACTTAAATATGCCCATGTCTCATATCTTTTGACTACCAGGATATTCTTTTAGGGTGTCATAATTAAAAAGGCTAGTTTTTCATAGATCTATCGATTCATACTAATTGCATTGTTGGCGGAGCTGGGTGTGTTTTGCCCATTATCCTTTACACTATCCGTCTCCATTAGTAGAGATGTAAAAATGTACCCTTAAAGTAAAAGAAATTAATATAAATATAATTTATTATTTCTAATTAGTTGTGTATTAAAAGCTCTTAAGACACCAAAAATAGAATTGAATAAAATTAAATATAAAAGGTGCTCACTACTAATTAAACTGAATTGTAGTAACCTATTATTGTACAATAGTCTCTAATGGCCATTATTTGAAATAGGCTTGCGCTTGACCGCTAGGCCTAGCGGGCATTGCGGTGCATAGCCTATTAATGTCCCCACTGCTGGGGCACAGGCCTTCCCTATGGATGGAATTGGGAGATTGGGCCATGACCACGCGGGCCCAGTGCGAATTGGTGGGTGCTAACGACTGCAGATGCAGCCGGGATCAACGGCTTAACGTGCCTTCCGAAGCACGGAAGGGCTCGAGATAGTAAATTTTTGGTCACCCATCCAATGACCGACCACTGCGAAAGTTGCTTAACCTCAACGACCGCAGCCGAACGCGCTAACCACTAGCGCCATCGAGCTCCTCAGCCTATAGACGCATGCGATACAAATATTATCATACGTGCCGTTGCCTACCCTGAGCCAATCTCCTACACCTGGGGTGGAGAAGCCGCATTGTAAAAGCCTTGTCCTCTGATAATGGATGGGCAAAGGTGGTATTAGTTCGTGTAAGTTTGAAACACACTCTCCGAAGTTCAATTTATATAACACTGGGAAACATGCTACTTAACGATAATGATCAAAACGCTCTGTAGGTGATCTACAAGCACTTCATCATCAATGGCCTAATTCTAAATTCGAGAAATAAGCAATAACTAATTCGCAGAATTTCCTTTATGTTTTGTCTGTATAAATTGAATGACAAATGTCATTTGAGTGATATGAACAAAACACGGCGTAACTAGTCTAAGCTTATACCTCGTTTTTATCGGGGGTTTAGG